GTCGCAAAAGGACAAATATTGCATGGTGCCACTGTTGTAAAATGGGATTGATATCAGGGTTGGGGTAAGACTGAGAAAAACTGGATAAATTTGGTGTACTGCACTGAAACAGATGAGGGAGTGAATAATTTAAAAGCGATGTATGATAGGGTATTATGGTTATCACAAGAGTCCACAATTAAGGTTGCATAGTGGGATGTATTTGGGGCGGTGGGATGGGTGCGGAGGGATTGTGTACCAGGGAAGGAGTGTTTCTTTTACTTTTGAAAGAGAGGAGCGAATGGGGGAAGGGCGGGGGTGGGGGAGAGCTGGACAGGGAGAGAAGTGCAGTAATGAATGAATGGAAATCCAAAATCTCTGTAAATGTTCATTAAAATTATTTAAAAAATTTTTTAAAAAATCTCCTGAACCTGTTAAAAGAGGATCAGAGATCTTCCCAGCAGTGCAGGGAAAATTTTAAAACATTCAAATTAACACAGGACAGTCACTTCATGGCAGTTTGTATTTATATCCACTTTCCACTCTCAATCTGCCCATTTTCTAGAAAATTAATTTCATCTGCTGAACAATGTGCTTTACCTGGTCACCTCTGTGAGGCTGAATAATTGTGACATTGCCTTTCTCATCAACTTGGTACAATACTATCTGGCCAGTATAATTTGCCCGAGGAGCACCAGCAACATAGTGAATGTTTTTCCCAGTAGAAATTGTAGCCACAGAGTAACCTAAGAAGGAAAGGGTCACAGAGTAAGTATTATTCAATATTTAAACCAGCAAGGCTTGAAAGGTTAGTAGTTGATGCTCAATCGTCCTTTCCTATTAGGTGTGATGTACAATTCCTATTGCTCCTGAATAAATCATTGAAGGCATTAAGATGCTAATGTGAACAACTCTTTTTCCTTGATGTGAACAACTCTTTTTCCTTGATGTGACATGATGCCCTACAAAGTGGGGACCTCTTTGTAAACAAAAGGCACTAGATTCTGGATTGTCTCCATCTGGTCACCCACAAATGAAAGCTCCAGCATGGTATTAGACACAATTATTTCTTAAGTGAGCAAATCAACATGTCTTTAGTGGCAGACAGGTTTAATTCTACATCTTCCATCTATTAGGTTGTTTGAAAAAAAAACACATAGCTATACAAGGTAAAATAAGAATAAAAATCTTTACTGTTGGGAGGATTAAACATTTATGTAGTTGCAAGGAGGCAGTAGAACTATGTAAAATAAATTTAATAATTAGGTAGAAGCTCAAGGGCTTATGTTCAACTGTCACTGAGATTCAAGATGGAGCTTGTTAAAAGGAAGAGGGAAAAAAGTAAGCCATCTATGAAAAAAGTCACACACACAAATTCCCAATTCTTCAAGTTTTTGAGATTTTAATTTAGCTAAGTTAAAAGCTTCTAGATCTCACCTAAATATGAACTGTGGTTTCTGTCTTGCAGAATTTGATCAAAGGCTTGTTTAGGAAAGATAGAATATTCATGAGATTTCTGTTGAACAATTGTTCCACTCCAGTCATAAGCTCCCACTGCACCAAGCATCAGGGCATCCTAAAATGATTGAAAAATGAAGATTATACTATATATTATACTATGAACATTATACTACACAAGTCACTTTTTAAAACATGAAATGTTAAGCAGAACTTTGAAATTATTTAGATTGAAATTAAACATTATCAAGTATAATACATAGTATGCATTATATATTAAATTCATTTATCTTCAATCATACAAATATCAATATATCAA